AAAAAAAAAAAAGGATTCCGTAGCCAAAACCCCGGCCTTTCAAATCATTCTGAACATCTGTGTCGAACATAAATATTCGACATCCTAAAGTTCAAATGTTAGCTGTCTTATCCATAAAGAACTGTCAAACCCTTCAAAGTGGCTACGCTGTCCTGTTTACATGAAATCTCACGCAAAACTGGAGAAGGTGCCTATGACAGTCTCTGCATGTGTCAACTGTCTTCGAATATGTCTCTTATCCACGTGACTCCTGCATTTGCCTGCTTTAGGTAGTTCATTGGTGACTTACCTACTGTTCATTGGTGACTTTTTTCTGCATTATATAGGTCCTTGAGGTAAATAAAAATCAAGTGTATCATTTATTTCCCTGTGATGACTAGAAAACCCTCTGATCTATTAATTGTCCAGAGGAATGTATAGCGGCTAGCACATTATGGATCTATAATGTATATTTCTTTAATTATATCAAAATGTGAATAATTCTATTTTTGGGCTGGGGGATTTGATGGTGCAGTTTTTCTTATAACAGGTTCCAAACACCAGGGAAACTGCAGATTCTCCTGTGAGTAACATCCCCAAAACAAAGGATGGTTTAGTTGATTGGTCCCAGGTAAATCTTTCATTACTCGTATGTTACTCGAGTCTGAACAGCCACCATACATGTATGTTATAGCCAGTCAGTTTCTATAGTCACTCAGTTTCATGCAAACTCATATTAGAATAATGTCATGACATGAACTGTGTAGTGTATATCGTGGATCATGATTGGAAGTATCTCCCATTCAATCTTTCTTTTGTTAAGGCTTGATATAATGTGCAGTTCCTTGTAATTGATTGTCAGTTCCATTACAGGAGACTACATAGATCTCGTTAACAAAGACTAGAAAGTAAAAACTTGTTCTTTGTCTTAACACACAAATTTTATGACCAATACCCAGATGTCTTGCTTATAAATGTGTTGCTTATAATGATTTAAACCGTATTTAATGAAATAACATTTCACTTGGGGGTATTGCACTACACACCTTTTCTTTGTCCTCTAAGTAGACAGTTCCTACCTCATTATCGTAATTTGAACAATGCATTAGGTTGTATGAACTGTCATTAAAACCCTAAGATCTTGACCATACCCCAATAGAGAAATTTATAATTTTGTTTATTTTCTTACAGCAACTAACTTTGTTTTCCGATAATGAACTGTGTTTCTGATTATCGGTTATTATCTTTTTGGCAGGACTTTTTCGGAAAACCAGCATTTCTGACAGTATCTGGGCAGTTGAATGCTGAAACTTATGCCACTGCTCTTACTGATGTATCAATCTTTACTTGTCAATTTAGTCGATCTTGCCCTTTCAACCTAATATTTAATGATTGTCAGCTACTTCTTGATACTTCTCCCCATAACAGTGCTTTTGAAATATTATCTCGTTTACATATTTGTTTATCAGGTCTATACTTTTGGCCCCACATTTAGAGCCGAAAATTCCCATACTTCTCGGCACTTAGCTGAATTTTGGGTATACCCGGCATCTATTGCCTACACATTTGCATTGTCTTTTGTATATAATGTTATATACATGTATGTATAATTATGCATTTATTTTCTTTTTAATTGCTTTCTTTCATGGAAGTGGTGTTACAAGATGCGTATTTACACAATTTAAACTTGTAATTCTCTTCCATCAAGATGATAGAACCAGAGCTTGCATTCGCTGATTTAGAAGATGACATGGCTTGTGCAACAGCATATCTCCAGTATGTAGTATGTTACTTTGCAAACCTATTGTCCATTTAAGGTGTTATTAAATTATTTCTTTCATGGCCTCTGCATTTCTAATAGTTTTGGACTACTGACTTGATACTTTCTTCATGGAAGGTACAATACATTCTTGATAACTGCAAAGAAGATATGGATTTCTTCAATACTTGGATTGAAAAGGGAATTGTCAACCGACTAAGTGTATGGGTTTCAGGCTCTCTTCTCTTATTTCATTTATTGTTACTGTCAAACAGAAAACAACCACTATTATCTATTTTATTAAACTTTTCTTTTGAGTCAGTTGATCTGAGGGGGAGGGAGGTTACTATTCATAGAGCTGAAACATTGGCTTTTTTTATTTGTGTACTTTCAGGAAGTTGTAGAGAAAAGCTTCGTGCAATTGACATACACTGATGCAGTTGAACTTCTTCTGAAATCGAGGAAAAAGTTTGAATTCCCGGTAGTTGTTCTTTCTTCACATAACGTCAACTGCCTATCAATTACCAAATGCTGATGCTATGCTGCCCTTCCGGTATTATTTCGAATTTTGGGAAGCCAAACCTAGGTTACATAGGTGCACACATATGAAAAATTCATTCTCCAGGCTTTTAGGGGCGCCCGAAACATGGTCAAAGAATTGGACCAGCCATTCTCTGATTTAACATTCGATTCAGAAAAATGCCGAAAGTTATTTTTTCTCCAGTTTTCTAGTACTAATATAGCTCTGCCAACCGTATTTGGAGAGAACGTACAGAAACCAATTGTTGAGTTCATGGAGTACAACTTTGCATCTTCTGCACATAAGTGTGATTGTGTGTCCATTCCTTTCCTTCTTTACAGGTAACCTGGGGATGTGATTTGCAAAGTGAGCATGAACGCTATATCACAGAAGAGGTGTTCAGTGGATGCCCTGTTATTATAAGAGATTATCCAAAGGCAAGAATAATGCTTACCGATGTTACATGCGCAGTTTTGCTCATGTAATAATTGAATACTTAATTTTCGTGGTTGACTCACAGGATATCAAAGCATTTTACATGCGGCAAAATGATGATGGAAAGACTGTTGCAGCCATGGATATGTTGGTTCCTCGGGTACATCACTAACAGTACCCAAAAGAAAAAGAAACAAAAAGAAAATTAGAAACACACACACACTGAATTTAATCTAAAGCCTAATTACAACAGGAACTAGATTACTGTCGAGATTTACTAACAGCATCTGTTAACATTTGGTTCTTTTGTAACCTTGAAAAACACTTGACTAGTAATAGGCTTTTATATTGTTATTGTCAGGTTGGAGAACTTATTGGTGGAAGTCAAAGGGAAGAGCGGCTTGATTACTTGGAACAAAGGTTGGATGATTTGAAGCTCAACAAAGAGAGCTATTGGTGGTATCTTGATCTGCGGCGTTATGGTTCGGGTGAGTTTTTGTGTTTTCCAAACTTTTACAAATTAATCATTTGTGCAGTTCCTAATATTTGAATGAAGATTATAAATTATTCCGAGGCTTCTTATGTTTTCGAATTAATAAGTTTTTTATTGTTGCTGTTTTTAATCCGTGACATGAGTTTGGGGAAAATATAGGCAAAAATGCATTTTTAGTCCTGTTGGTTTAACGTCATAGCAATTTTAGTCTCAATGTTCTAACTTTTTTGCCTTCTAGTCTTGGGATTTACTATTTTGCTATTTTGCTGTAATTTCAGTCCTCAAAGGACTAAAATTGCAACAAAATTTTAAATTACATGACTAAAAATGCAATAAATTTTTAAATTATAGGTCTTAAATTTGTTAATAAAAATTCCAACACAAAGATATGAATTAGAAATTTGTTGCGAAATTTCAGGACTGAAATTGCAGCAAAATGTTAAATTACATGACCAAAAGGTGGAATGCTAGAGTCTTGGGAATAAAATTGATATGATGTCAAACCAACAGGACTAAAAATGTAATTTAGCAGAAAGTATGTTGTCAATTTGTATCACAACTTTTTTTTTTTTCGTTTTATTTTTTCTTTCAGTTCCCCATGCTGGATTTGGATTGGGTTTTGAAAGGCTTGTACAATTTGCGACTGGAATAGACAATATAAGAGATGCGATTCCTTTCCCTCGAGCACCTGGGTTAGCGGAGTTTTGATGTCTGTACCGTTGTACTATTTCATCCTTTCATCTTCAACAATCATATTGTGTATAATAATACATGTCAACATAATAAATTTTAGTTCTCTTTTATACCAAGACCGAGCAGGACTTCTCATTACCCATCGAGACTAGAGCACTCTAAATGCTTTTTCCACATCTTTTCGAGTAGATTTTTTTAAATAACTTTCTTTTAGGATTCGATGGACAAGAGAAAAGATTTTACGAATATATCCCATTACTGATATATTATGTCTTCAGATAATACCCCTTTGCATATTGTGTTACATTAACAATGAAATTGACGTTTGGTGCATTTTCTTGCAAGACATTGTTAAATAAAGGAGATTCATATAATACATTAATATCATTATGTGATCCAGCAATACCAAAAACACATTTCATATATATAAATCGTGTGAAGCCACCGCTTCAAGGACAATTGTAGGAGACCTATATCTTTTTGTGAATTGACATTTCCAAGCAACTGGACAATTTTTTTATTGCAAGTGCATACAATCAAGGCTTCTAAGCATACCGAGAAATCGTGATTTTCTTCATGCATCCGGAGAAGTCATTGAAAATCGTTAGCATTCGGACTTCTCAAATATACATCACTAAAAATTTGAATCGCACTTTCACAAAATGGTGACAAACTATTTCTTTCCGCTGCATCAATGTTTTGTTGGAAGTATGATGATCGTGTCTGAAGTGCATTCACAACTTGTAGAAATAATTCTTTTCGCATATGAAAACGTTTACGGAATATGTTATCCGGGTAGACTGGATGCCTAGATAAATAATCACTTACGAGTATGTCATGACCAACTTCACGAGTTCCTTGGATGAATCTTCCTTTCTTACGAATTCTAATTTCGTGTTGATATGCTTAAAGTAACTTGTAGCTTCGCTGAATGATGGATGATATCATTGCAACTTCTGCATAGTTTGTGTCCTCACTATCTTCACTGCCGATTGTTGATGATAAATTAGAGTCTAATCTAGATGAGTATTGAGACATTTTTTTTGGGGCTCGAATTGAATTTCAAATTTTTGTTTGTGATTTTTTATTCAATAAAAGGATGTTGGATTGATTTGAATATATAGTGTTCGGTATCACTACAAGTGCAGCGGACAAAAATACCCCTGCAACAAATATGGTAAACACTACTATTGATGAAAATAAGTCAACACAAATAAATAATAGTCGAGAAATAAAAAGAATACAAAAAATTTGTAACAGATTTTAGCCAATATTGTGTGTGTCTCAAGGCACCACCAACCGTAACGCTAAATCTATTAAACTCACCAACAAAATATAACCAAGGATTAAACAACATGAAGACGACCATTTTTTTTTTCTTTAGATTTGGTTTTCGAAGAGAGAACGAAGCTTTTTAAGTCGATGGTCCTATTTATTTATTTATTTTATTCGAAATGATAGATGGTATATTCTCAAAACAAGACCAATACAAATATTGGTTACTCAACTAAAATCTAACTCACTCAATCAACTTTTAAAAAATCTCTCCTCCTTATCATGAAATAAAAAACCAACATAACTTATATCCAATCACCAATAATTTCACAAGTTTTTGTCATACATGTTGTAATTTATATAAAAAAATTATTAAAATTGCAAAACCAAAAGAGATTGGATAAATTATTTCTCATCTTTAAAAATTTGACAAGTTTTGGTCAAATCAGTTCTAATATATTAAAATTGCAAAACCAAAAAGTTACAAAAAGGTTCTATGCTAATAACATTTATATTGGGCTGGACAGATTCATCCGAAACTAATACGTTAAAACATCAACATTGGACAAAAACTATAAACAGGCCAAGCCCATTAAAAACCTAGGGTTTCATGCTGCTTCAAAATTATATAAAAACCCTAAAACAATTTCTCACTCAGCCCCCTGTGAAGAAAAACCTCAACACTATCATCTTCGCCGCCGCCGCCGACGAGAAAATCAGCTACCATGGTGAAGTACTCGAGGGAGCCCGACAATCCCACCAAATGTAGGGTTACATTTCAGGCCTTCTTCACGCTCTTTAATCTATCTCCAAGTATTTTGCTGTATGATTTGAGTTCTTTATGTGTGCGAATTGTTTTTGATAATTTTCTCGTGTTTTGTTAATTGCAGCCTGCAAGGCTCGGGGATCCGATCTCAGGGTTCATTTCAAGGTGATGTTTCGTTTTTCATTCCCTTTCTGTTCGTGCTGATCTGCTGATTCTCATGAAAATGCTTCCTTTAATTTTGGATTTCATTATTAGGTTTAGTTTTTTAATGTTGGGAGATTTTATAGAAATTAACCTGGTGAAAAAAGCAGTGATCTATTTGCCTTTTGTGAATTGATCTCTCGTAAACATCAGGGACATCCAATGGGCAATGTCATTGGGTGAACCTCTTGAGTTGTTTCAGTGATTGAAGGTTCAGTAAACAATGCTATATTGCTGCAGCCTTCAGCTGCTTTTACTGTATTTATCTACCTTTGGGGTATTTAGATGCTTTAAATTACGGAAAAGATAACTTTTCTTTAGCTACCAATCTGTAGAATTAATGCTTGAATTTTATTGATTCATTGTATTTAAAATCATGAGCTGGTTTAGGACCAAGAAATTGCTTACTAAATTGTTTTGTGGAACAATTTGGCTTTCTTCCACAGTGCGTAGCTGCACAAACAAAGTTAACTGTTACACTTCAAATCGTGTGGACAATAGTCTTAAGTGTATGATATTTCTGTAACCTGCACTTAATTTCTTATGTTGTAATTACTCTTACCATATTCTCAGCTCTCTGTAAATATTAGCATGTTCTTGTGAACTATATTAGAAATTCGTACTTGTGTTTCTTGTATAGAAATTCCGTGGTTTTGAATCGTATCCTTATATATGAGTTAGGAAATTGACGTTGATATTAGAGAAGTATGCTGAATATTGATTGTCATTTAGTGTTGTGCCTTTTCCTCTTAAGACTAAAGGCTCATTTGCTTGTTGTAATTATATTTGTAGAACACTAGAGAGACTGCACATGCAATCAGGAAGTTGCCTCTTGTTAAGGCCAAGAGATACTTAGAGGATGTGCTTGCCCACAAGCAGGCAATCCCCTTTACCCGTTTCTGTGGAGGTGTTGGTAGAACTGCACAGGCAAAGAACAGGCACTCTAATGGTCAGGGACGTTGGCCCGTGAAATCTGCCAAGTTTATCTTGGATTTGCTCAAGAATGCCGAAAGCAATGCCGAGGTACCCTAATTTAGTCCTTTTTTTTCCTTTCTTTCTTTTTTATGATTTATTTTGGTTCGAGATTAGTCAACATGTTTGATTTTATTTTTCTTGCAGGTGAAAGGTTTGGATGTGGATGCACTCTTTATTTCCCACATTCAAGTTAACCAGGCCCAGAAGCAAAGGCGCCGCACATATCGTGCTCATGGACGAATCAATCGTATGTCCTTTTCTTTTAAACTAATGTGTAATATGAAGTTTGAAATATTTTGCAGTTCAAATGTTAAATATCTGCTATAGCTAATGTCTTGTTCTGTGTGTTGTGATGTTAAATTTGACATGTTATATCTT